TGATCTCCAGTGCTCCTTAGAAAGGTTCGCAGCCGAGTACGACGTGACCGGCATGCGTGTGAACGCATCTGAATCGAAAAGGCTAGTGCTTTCTCGTTCTCCTTTCTCAGATTAACGTAGAGGCAGTGGAGCAAGTGGAGAAGTTGAAGTGCTTCGGCGTCGTGTTCACTAGTAATGGGAAGTTTGAGGAAGAGATTGACCGTCGAATTGGATTAGCCAGTGGTGTTCTGCATGAGTTAGCCTGATCCATTGTGACTGAAGCAGAGCTGCGTCTGAAAACTTAACTCTCGATGTTCAAGTCTGTCTTTATCCCGATGATTACTGACAGTCTTTGGTCGTGGACGATGACTGAAAAGCTTCGAACTTAGGTACAATCGGCTGAAATTGGCTTTCTGGGACGAATCGCTGGCCTTTCGCGTCTCGACATCATCCGGAGTACTGACATCCGATAGAGCCTTGGTATACAGTCTCTGCTTCTCCGGATTGAGAACAGCTTCGATTGTTTGGGCATGTGTTGCGAATGCCTCCATTAGGGAAGGCTAAGCAACTGTTTCTTGCCAATCCGACCGGGAGAAGGTGCAGAAAACGGCCAGGATTAACCTGTTACAGATATATGGAAGGAGTCTGTTCCAGACTCCAGTTGTCTTTTGCCGACGTTGAGATTCTAGCAGAGGATTCGGAAAGTTGGAAGCACTGTCTGACGCGTTTGTCTCCGCGACTCGAAAGGAAAAGCAGCCCTGGAAGATGAAGATATCGTTGATTTAAGGTGGGGTGGTGAACTGAAGTGGGGTGCTTATAATGGTGGTTTCTGCACCACCAGCCAGTGCCAAGAAGCACCTACATGATTTAACTTGCTGTTTGTTTTGGCCACTATTTTATACAATATTTTCTTGAAAATTAGTTCGTTGAAGCTTATGCAAAAATATCTCGTATGTCTTTCTAAGCTCATGCCCGTACTGTTCTGTGGATGATTAGAAGATAGTTTTCTGATTCGATGATTGCAGCACAAAAGACAGTAAACATGTTCGTTTGATCGTTTGTTTCCGATGAATTAACTTTGGGTATCACTAGCGAAACGCTTATGATAACTGATCCCAATTCAAGCCGAATATGATATCTACTATGTTCAAGAAACATTTTATTTTTTGCCTTTCGTTCTACCAACCGTGATATCAGAATGCCTGTGCGTTTTTATTTCGTATACTTTTCAGGTTTCGCTTGGTAAGCGGAGAATGCTACGTTAAGAAACTTTTTAGTGTATCGAGATGTTATGGTTGCAACTGTACATGATTTTTCTTTCATGGTTGAGACAACTAAACGTTTTTCATGCCCTCAGCTGTAGATCAACAGATCGCGTATAGTAACGTATTTCCCTATTACTTTTATCGTTTGTTCATACTTGCATCTTCACTGAGACTTAGTGCGTTAGTCGCCAAGTTATCCATTCAGCGTTCATCCATCTTTATTTTTAGACCGAAAAACGAAACGGTTGGGTGAATGTTGGTGACCTGCAAAATGCAATCCACTTCAAGATTGTCAAGTACGAGCGAATCAAGTTTTTGGTCGTCGGTTTGCAGAATTCGATCGAGATCTACGCTTGGGCGCCAAAGCCGTACCACAAGTTTATGGCTTTCAAAGTCTGTTTTCTTGAATTGGTCCCGGGTATTAAAACGGCTTGTTTTTAAGTCATTCGGTCAGCTGACGCACCAGCCGCTCATTGTCGACCTGACGGTTGAGGAGAATGCGCGCCTTAAAGTGCTTTATGGGTCTAGCGAAGGATTTCATGCCATAGATTTAGATTCAGCGTCAATTTATGATATACACATGCCGAAAAACGTGAGTAATATCCTGTATTGTTCGTATACCATCACCGTACTAACATGTTTTCGATCGTGTCTAGATTTTTTCGATCAAGTTAAATTGTTATTGAAAGTAATGCTTCGACCTGCATTTCAGCATATTGTAGTTGTTGTTTATAGTATTCTTCGCCTTCCGCTGTTTGCAGTTGCATACTGGCACCGGCCTATAATACCGACTGCACTTTCTACTTTTCAGTACTAATCTGCTATAATACATGGATTGCTGCATTACAGAAGAGCTTGTTCCTTTTCCAACGCACATTATTTCTGTTTTGTTCGTCCCTGTTGCGTTCAGACCTTTTGGCTGATGTCTGCCCTGCTTTGATACTAACGGGAAATGTAGAGATTATTTGCGTAATAACTGATAAAAGTTCAAAAAAGCGGTTACATTACTACGTATGTTCAGGTTAGATAAAATTCTTTTAAATCTGTTTTATGGTTCACAGTTGGAAAGTGTAGCTGCCCTGGAACGGCATGTTTGTTGATCTGTTTTACGGGCTGAATTCCAAAGTCAATCCTACTACTTCATCGACCGTCAGTATCAGCAACAGTATTTATGTTGCTCGATTTTGTAAACGATTGGCTAGATAGGAGAAAACCCATTTTGGATTAAAAAGAGAAAGACAGCAGATGACACAGTCAGTCACGGTTTTTCACGGCGTATTACTTATTATACTGTTAACGCCACAAGTTGCGATCGGTCGACTGACTGGATGCCAGTTTTGAATCATTGTTACAGGATGACAGTAGCTTTTGCTGCTAATCATCGTGTAAAACCGTTGAAGACCTGCAAAAGTTGAGTTAAAGTAGTGGTTATTATGTCATGTGTCAAATACAACGTCACGTCGTTAAAAGCCATGGCTGACTCCATCGTTTACCAAATCTACAACGGCAATTTTTCCAGAGCAACGAAACAGCGTATGCCGATTGATGCATCGAGAAGGCTCTGTACCGGATTTATTGTGCGGATACTCTATCAAGGTTTCCAGTCTTCTTCGCGCTATCTCCAGAAGTTAGTCTTGTTAATTAAGACCGTTTTCTGTTGTTTTGTCACTATCATTGCCAGTGTAACAACATGATATTATAACAAAATATAGCTTATATCGTACAAAAGTTTTTAACAAAAGTTGTAGCTGTCGCTTCCCGCAGTGATGTATTATTTTTGATTCAGTTTTTACGCAAATCTACCACCGCTCGTTTCTAGTGTACTTTTGTTTAGGTGTTAGCTATTGTCAACCTAATTTTACACAGGGTGGCTTTCTCGAAGCAACGATTAGAGGTTAGGGATTGTGGAATCTAGAATTTCATCAGTACTTGATCTTCATCGACATCTGAAAAGGAACTCGTTTAAAAATTGAAAATTTGACGCCTTCCAATGGTGTATTGAATTCCAGTGTACGTACACTGTCCTTGTCACAGTATGAATTGGCTCTTGTTAAACATATGGTGTACTGCGGACGATGGACAGTTACGGCCGTTCGCCATGCGTAAGCCCTATGGCACAGCTACTTTTCCTTCCCGTGGTAACGTGTTCGTGGATGTTTATCTTTTGGTCGTTGTCTGAACAGATATATTGTGTTATCCGTTAACATAATACCGTGTCATACTAATTATAGGTTCAAGGTTACATTGCGCCGCATTGTATAGTGATTCTGTCCAACACTAACGGGATGCAGCTGTTGCTGTGCTACGACAGTAAGCCGAATTTAATATTTACACTTGAAAACTCTTCCTCATTAGCGTCTTCCTTTCTGTTGTGGTGGTTGTTCATAAAAAATACACTGATTTTATTATAAAACCATAGCTGTAATTCTTCCTTTAAAGGAATGCTATTTTCCGACATGATAATCCTGAATCGATAGAAGATATATGTACATTGGATATGGTTACAGATACACTGGAAGAAATAATGGCGCTGGAAAATCGTTGCGAAGAACAAGTTAGCAAATCGTTAGCGTACAGCCAAAGCTTGATTCGTCTCAAAGTTATTTAAGCAAAAGTGTAATGTGCTTCGAATTTATTTAAGTGATAAAACAAGACGATAGAAGCAACACGGAATCAGTCAGTCAGTTTCGATGACCGGTTTTTCTTTTCAGTCGCGGACGCAGAGGCGTCTGTCACTGTTTCCAACGTTCTGTCAGTGGTTGAGCTTCGCCGCAACAAAACCCATCTATATAGACACTTGCCCCAGGCTGTTATTGACCGTCCACGGGGATTTCAGAAGAATTCGCAAAACGTGTCAAAACCATTGCAGCTGTAACTTTTCAGTCTAGAGATTCAGCGGCTGCATACCAAGACTCTCGCGGATTTCTGTACTCCGGACCATGTCTAGACGCGTAGGGCCAGCAGCTCGTAACAGAAAGCTCATTTCCGCCGCTTGTACCCGGGATCGAAGTTTATGAGTCATTGTCCACGACTCATGACTGTAGGTAAGCATGGGGATGAAGATCGACTTGAACACCTAGAGCTTAGTCTTCAGATTCAGCTCTGCTTTAGTCACCGTGGTTCAGACTGGTTCATGCAGAACGTCACTGGCTACTCCAGTCTGCCGGTCGATCTTTGTCTCAAATTTTCCATCACCGGTAAACACGGCTTCTAGGTACTTGAACGTCATTGCTTCGCCGGTTATCTGCAAAGCGAGCATAGGAGAGCTAGCTAGCACTACGTTTTTCGTTTAAGACACGTTCACACGCATACCGGCCACGTCGCACTGGTCTGCGAACCTTTTAAGAAGCTTTGGTGATCAGTTTCAGATGTCAACAAAAGTCGTCTGCAAACAGCAACTTTCTCGTTTCGACATATCCTGCGCTTTTACACTTATCGCCATAGCTGCACGTTATTTTTCTATCCATGTACAACAGAAACAGGAGAGGGAACAGGATGCAGCTTTGGCGCAGACCAATGCCAACACAGAGGTCTTGACTAAGCACCAGATATAAATATATAGTGATTTAATGGTTCATAGCAACGGGCCATCAAGCCCATGTTTGCAGGCACGCCCACAGTTTGTTGCCCGGGGCAACACGGGCTTATCTAAATAATTGTGCATATGCTAAAGCTAGCTTTTATTATTCAGCAACTTGCTATTCCTTTTTCATCATTAACTTCAGTGTAAACATCTGCTTCTGGGAATAATGGCAATGAAAGCTTAATATTCGTGGTTTGGTGATAGATGTAGTTGGTTGATGTCTTGCAGAAGCAACGTTGACTGAGGTTGCTGATTTGTTAAATTCGTATTAATTTTGCAGATGAAGGTGTTTATGTGAACACCTACGGAAAAATCACGAAAAACATTGTGCTTCAGTGGGGCGAGATGCCATCTTCGGTCGGTAAGTAGAAGAAAGGTTCAGCGATACAGCCGTAAGAAGTATAGCATATTGTAGCCTACATATCCACCGGCCAGATAATGGGATGGGGAAACAAAGCGATTGAAATCCGTTCGGTCGAAACTGGTAATTTGGATGGGGTTTTCATGCACAAGAAAGCGCAGAAGCTAAAGTTTCTCTGCGACAGAAATGACAAGGCATGTTCTGTTAATAGTTCATGTTTCCTGTGTTCTTACGCTTTACGTGTTAGGTGTTTTTTTCTTCGGCGAAAAGTGCTGGATCATGTCAGATATACTTCATGACTCTGAACAAACCGGGCATTTCCAACTGGTAGACAGAGTTCCATTATGCAAGTAAAATTCGGAGCCGAGGTCTACTTGTTTTATGAAGAACAAATCGATGAAGATTGTAGCTTTTCCGAAGCTAATTTTGCATTCCATTTTGTGCTCATCTTACGGTTTCCTCGCTGCGAAGATGATAGTGAAATGGTTTCAGTCATTCTTTACGTGAACAGTACTTTTGCTCGGAAAAGATTCATAATTTTTTACTGTTTTTGTCTTGTATCAAAAACGTTCGTACCAAACAATAAAAATTTTTGCTTCTACGCATCTAGCGAATGTTGAGCTGGTCTTCCGGCTTGAAACCAAACTGGCACTTGTATGTGTCGAACAGCGTCGTCAATTCTTGTATGTACCGCGCGTGAAGCGCATTGATTGCATCGCGTGATGGTTCGTCGCACTTTTTTACCGGGATCGGTGTTCCTACTACGACATTTGTGGCAGAAATACAGAAACGTCACATTTCATTACCTACAGTTGTAATTGGTCTGCGCAGGGGCATAAAGAAACCGGTAGTCCAGCGACCAAAAAATATCGGCGGTGAAAATCGGAATATAGTTTTGAAACGTTCCTGCAATTCAAAGTTCATCCTAGCGGCAAGAGCGAACGCGAAAACAATCACCTGGAAGTTTCGCAGTCTTGAACCTTCCGGGTTGTTTATTTGATGATAAACTTCGTTTTCGCCGAAAGAGTACACTGGAACTAACCAAGCTCTAAGATAATACAGAAATAAATTTCCGCTAATATCCGCTTCACGTACTTGTGATGCAATTAATCGTAATTCAGGCAGACGTCAAACAGACATGTTAACTTTCTATTCGATATTTTGATGACTGACTAAATTGGAATTAGGCTGCAAGCTACGAAATGAATTTAGTCATTTGGAGGAAAATGATGGCACCAAAAGTAAGATAGCAAACGATCACCTGTTCGTAAATACGCAAAATAAAGCACATTTCATTAGGGAAGCTTCTTTAAAACACTACTATTAATATCGGAATAATACAATATATGGCGGGGGGACGGTTTAATACCCCTGACAGTGCACAGACACACACTTAAAAGATTTTTGATTACATTTGGTCCATCTTCACAGAATACTTTTGCAGTAATAAATACAACAGAAGTTACCATTCTTTAAAGTATGGCTGAAACATTGAGAATGTAAAAAAATTGAGATGCTGTTTTCTCCAATGACATGCAGTAATCTTATTCATGACAGCCGGATTACTTTTGGGTTGCTTACCAGCTGAACCGTGACGGCTGCCTCAAAATCTACATCTTTGTGACGAGTGAATACTCGCCCTTAAAAACGTTCAGCAGCTTTCGATCATGGATATATAATTTTCAGTAATTGTGAGAAATGGCACTGATACCTACACGGGATGTCACCGTGACGAAACCACCACTATTAGCTGAATCTGCCCTCTTCAAAAATCGCAATGCAGCCTGTATCAACAAGTTGTTAAAACCATTCCTCCAGTTAGAACCTCTGTTTAAAAAACTTAGTTGCGCATCAGTCCTTTTCATTTCAATTAACATGTTACATTTCTTTTCACCAGATTTTGTTTTTTGACTATATATTTCGTTTCAGCGTACTGTCTTTACTAGCTAACTACCAGAGTGACTAACTGCTTCGATTACAGTGCTATCCGCTGTTCCTTGCACTGATAAATTAATGTCAATTATTAAACCTTCTTGGGACTACAACTGTTTCTTCGCTTCCGTAATACTGACAGTAGCCAGCAAATGTCATGTTCAAATGGAATGTGCGTGCTACGTTCGAAGTCCTCCTTGCTTACACAGAACTGCCTATGAAAGCACTTTCCGAACTTGCCAATAATTGGCACGGCACACAACAGATCATGTATTTTTTTAACGATACGAATAATTTTTGATGGGCTTCATCCTGTTCACCAACTTTCCACAATGCATTTCTATAGACCAGTGGTTCTCAAACTTTTTTGCTCAATTCCTCCCTTTCATTCTCCCCTTCCCAAGATGGTCTAACCAAAAAAAGATGCATTATAAATAAATGTTGAAAACATGTCTGTATTAGTACATGTACATCTACTTTGATATTTTTACGATAAACTATTACAAATTTAGTAGCAGTAGAAATGTTGATAAGTTTTAAAACCTAAATAAATTTAGGGTTTTATATTCAGAACTAATTATTTTACAGACTAAAGTTGCTCAAGCATAGTTCAATAAAATTCCAGAGAAATACAATTTATTTTGTTGTAAAAACTGTTTTTTATTTGACGGTTTTTGGATACCCGGAGGAGTGCTTGAAAAGGCACAGACGCAGCTTTCAATCTATTTCGTGGCTTCGCTTTTATTTGCTATAGAATTCAAAAGCCTGACGCAGAGATATTTCGACACAAATGTAAATAATGCATGAATTGCTCCTTCTGCCACTTTTTGGTAGGAATCGCATACCAAGGGCAAAATTCTGCGATTGATTTCTCATCAAAAATACCTTTTGCTCCAGAATCAGTTTTCATCTCCAGTAATTCATCTTGACAATCAACGTGAATTTTTTCAACTGACATTTTAAACGGATTGCGTACTAAATCCAACTCATCATCACTGAGTTTCGGAAAACAGTGGCTGAATTCATTTTCCAATGCTGCCAATTCATTTTTTGCGAATTCTGGAAGCACTTATTCTTCACCATTAGCAACAAGAACTGATGACAATTCCTCAAACATTGGAACATTTTTGATACTGTCCTTTCTCTTCCAGTTTTATAGCATCCTCAAGAAAGCTTTAAATGAATCAATGAATTTTATGATATTTGTATCCCTTCCTTGCATTTGAAGAATCAGATAATTCAGCTGCTCAAAAATGTTAGCTAAATAAACAAACAGCCAGAAAAAAATTCCATCTTACGCTGAACTTCAAGAAATAATCCGAGCTCATCCCTGTGCTTAAATACTCGCTCAGTTACATTTCCTCTTGAAAGCCAACGAACATCTGTGTGGAAAAGAAGCGATTGATAGACCGCATCATGTCAATACATAACTGCTTGAAATGCTCTGAGCTGAGAGCTCCGCCTTTCACGAAATTTCTTGAATTACTTGATTCGAAACCTTCCACAATGAAGCTGGAAGTGTTTCTGAGGCTAAAGCCTGACGATGAATCATACAATGAATGCCTTTCTTTCGGAGCTCACTGTTTTACACAAACTTGAAATCGGGATTTTGTCCATAACATAACCGGTGCTCCACCTGTACAGCAACCACAGAAATTATCCCACAAAAGATTTTCTTATTCAAATGTGAAACCTTTTCCAAAATATCTGAGGTCTTGGTAGTCCCGACACGAATAGCGAAAATTTTACAGCCTTATACCAGTGTTACCCATAGTTGAGGGCTGAGGCATGACTAAAAAATTAATATCATTCATACAATGGAAATAAATTAACTACCATTTTGTTTTTCACGCATTTCAGAGTGAGTTTATTTCCTTACTGTTTAATCCTCTCGTATTACGCGATATCACTGCCCCAGCGGAAGGCGGGTAATTCATACGATAAGGGGAGTCTCACAATAATTAGGAAAAATATTACGATAGCATGTATTAGCGCCGGCTATAGCTGAGGCATGACTTTAAAAAATTAACTTTATTTAAATAATGCCCTTAAACCATATAATTGCAATTATATGTTTCACCTGTGTCAGTAGTCATCGCATTCGCGTTTTCGCTGAGCGGGAACTAACGTGTGACGTCGTCATGTTTGGAAAATTTTACGTTGAAACAAACGGCGCTGGTGATGACGCTCCGCGAGCGACGCTGATATTTCTCGAGAGAAAAATTTTAATTAATATATAACAGAATTTTTGGTGCACTTCCTGGTCCCTAAATAATAATTTAATTCCGTAAATTAAAATAATGTGCACTGAAAAGAATCGATTTTAATCTGTGATATTCATTAAACTTTATTGAACGTGGCAGAATAAATTAAAACAAACTACAATATCACAGATTTTACATAATGCGCAGAACATCACCTTTAGCTGAATAGTAACCCCAATTCTCCGGGGGGGGCAGATTCCCCACTGGTTGAAAACCCCTGCTACAGACTGCGTTCAACGCCTTGGTGAAATCAACGATGACTGCCAACAATCTGAGTTCACATTCTCCCTTATTTTCCATTTGCTGTCTCATTGTCAATGTCGGGTCCAAACACCCTGCGCCTGTCCTGAAGCAGAACTGCTCTTCAACCATGAACTTCTTAAGATGGTGTAAAATCCTGCTCACCAAAATAAATACGCATTAAAACCTGCAACGACAGATAGCAAGTTTATTACACGATAGTCATTTGGATTAGTGGAACACACTATAATAAATATTCTAACTACAATATCATTCTTTGATCATTTTGGATTTCCTCTTTGACCCGATCAATCCAGATCTACTATTAATCTACTAATGCCAGCACATCATTAATTCCAAAGTCGTTAAATAGTCCTGCTTGTAATTCATCAATTCCTGTAGCTCTGCCGTATTCCAGCTAGATTAAGGCTTTATTCACTTCCTCAAATGTCCATATTTTTATCCAGGCAAATAAACAATGAATTTTGTTTCGCAGTCACGTAAGCGTTAAGCAGGCACTAAAGATGCTTTCTCCAAATCCCCACTTCCTGGTAGGATCCGACGTGAGATCACCATTTCTCCCATAGCAGCTGTCTGTCGAAGCTTCGTTTAGTGCAAATGGTAATGAACTTTCCTTAACAGGGTCGTTATCCTCACTGTCTTTTCGAACTGCATCCACCATTATTTGAGCATGCCTTTTCCAAAAAGGGCATTATCATTCCCTGATGAATTTTTAACTTCTTTCTGCACTTCGCTCCTGAAACTTTGTCTTTTATCAATCTTGGTCGTCTTCTTGCAACTTTAGTTTTCAAACTTATCCGCGGTTTTTTTCGTCTTTTCTAACATCCCAGTTTAACTACAATGGTTGCTATCACTTTTACATGTTCCATACATTCTCTACAGATACACAGCCAGTTTAATCAATGTGACCTGAATCAAACGTTCCATCGATCGTGACACGATATGCTTGAGGTACTTCTGAACATTTGAGCTTGTCGTCTTCAGTCTTGCACTAGATTTTTGATCGCTAATCGGTGCTTGACTTCCACCATAGCCATCACCTATCAGTATTTGTTCCATGTCAGTGCGTCTATTGCACTGCAGTCGCCTATACTTCCATTCGATTTAGTTCTTTTAAAGTCAACATTGACTGATTAGATCTGTTTAAAAATCGTGCGTTCCACGTCACAAACCGTGCTCAGCATTTAGTATCAAAGATTTCGAATTGCAGTTATTCGAGATCCATACTCATTTCATAGCCACCGAAAATTTCGAGCTCCATTAACCAATAAATCCGATCCAAATGATAAATTCTGTACGGTTTCTGCCACCAAAGATAAGTTCGCTGATTGGGTGATTGGTCTGCAACTGCTTCACCAGTCTAGTTAGCCGTCCGTTTCAGGGTTCATGACTGGCCTTCACGGCAACAGAAGCGGCTGAAAATGCACTTCACCGCATTTTCAGCCTGTTAAGTATTTCCTTCCGTTGGTCATTGCCTCGACCTCACCACTGGGACAAGAGGTTGAACCTTTAGGAAAAGTTTATTACAAATAATTGTAATTA